GTGTACCGTACAGTCAGATCACAGTCTACAAATATATTCACACCAAGCGAAGCAGTACAGTAGGACACAAAATGGCGTCCGAGGCCCGCAGAACGTTTAATGACGTCATAGCAAACAAAAACAAATCTCACAGAGCTAACAGAAATATTTAAAATGAATAAAAGTAATAGCCTTCCGGGGAAATATTTTATCTTCAACCACTGAAAATTTTAAAGCAATTGGTCCAGTATTCGAAGAGAAAAGCGGTTTTTTAATATTTCCACTAGGTGTGTTATTCTGTGTCAAATAACAACAAGAACAAGAACAACATAATATTGAAACGATCGTTATGTCCACTACCTGTCCAAAAATAACAATAAATAATAAATTAGTTTGGTATAGACAGGAGAGAGTGATACGAACAGACAGACGTTCATCAAAGTCAACTCCCCCCCTCCTCTTCAAGCTATTATGTTTAAGATTCACAGTTTCAGATGACTAAATATTGGGATGGAACATTCTAGAATTTGAAATTATATTCTCAAAATGGAAGAATAAAATTGGGGAGGGGAATGCTAGAGTAAATCATTCTTATTTATGAATGTGGAGCGGGATTTCAAAATATGAAGAGATTCCAAAGGTTACTGAATGAATTTAAATGATTTATACGCATATGTGATGAACTAGCATAAATGCTTCATTTCATGGCCTTGGTACGCATTGAAGATGTAACAAACATGATCTGCTTTGATTTGTGTAGTTAGGAGGGTGAAAATAGTTATTCGGGCAATGTCATCAAATTTGACAAGAATAGGGCCTAACAAGCATTATTTCAGCATAATATTTTTTGTTTGCAGAGGGATGTCAAAGTAATATATAAGAAGACAAGTGAATGATAACTAAAAATGTAAATAATTATAATAGTATGAGTTGATGTAACGGCAAAATATAATGCATTATCGTAATTTCATTATCACAAAATATGAATATAAAAAGCACCATTGGCGAGTTGTACATAAATAGGAGGAGAGGTTGGGGGGAGATAGGGTAGTGGGTCGAGGATAGGAAGGTTGGGGGAGATAGGGCAGTTGGTCGAGGGTAGAATGGTTAGGGGAGATAGGGCAGTGGGTCGAGGATAGAAAGGTTTGGGGATATAGGGCATTGGGTCGAGAATAGAAAGGTTGGGGGAGATAGGGCAGTAGGTTTAGAACGGGAATGTTTAGAAATATAGGGCATTGGGTCGAGAACAGGAAGGTTGGGGGAAGTGGGTCGAGGATAGGGCAGTAGGTCTTGGACAGGAAGGTTGAGAGAAATAGGGAAGTGACTCGAGGATAGCAGGGTTTAGGGAGATCGGGCAGTAGGTTGAGCGTTATTACTATTTATTTTGAATTTTACCTAGGAATTGGAAGATTTTGCAATCACACCTTCGGTGTACTTAATCGATCTATATTCAAAATATAAAGCAAGGTTTCTCAACGCTTGCGACCCTTTTTAATATATTTAAATAAGTATAAGTATAAGTTTATTTCGACTCCATAATCAGCATAACAATACATTTGACAGATAAAAACAAATAAATAAAAACTGATTATGAAATCAGGGGAGCAAACAAAACCTTAGATAAGGTTTATAACGTACAAAATATAAGATGGAAGATTTTGCCAAGAGGGAAGTGGTACGTGTTTACTCAAATTTTCCGCGATCATTGTGAATTCGGTATTGTTATGCAAGTGTGCCGCTTCTCGATTCTTACGATCAAAGTCAGCAAAAACAAGAAGAACAATACTAACAACAACACTTTAACAAAGCGATACGTATATAGGTCGACTTCATCTGCGATAACTCGTCTAATAGGTTCATCATAAGTATATATAAGTATACGAGCGCCCAAGACAAGCTGGAGACAAATTGCAAAGGAAAAATAGATGGCAAATTGCAGGTATTTTTTACTGCTTAGATTCAGCCAATCACGGTAATGTGACGTTTATGGCGTTCACAAACCTGCTGCAAAAGGTTGCAAATCATTCCAAGGAATGCACAAACGTATCCAAAGATCAATCGCACCCGAACACCAATTTTGCCTGCGAATACAATCAAGCATATCGACACAAATATCCCCCAGTCATAGGCTATGATAGGCAGAGCGCCTGTTGCGTAAGGAGTTTCTTCAAAGAATGAAGTAACGACGTTGTTCCCAGCTCCATAAGATAATGTTGTCAACTAATAGCTGAATATATACCCATATTCATGACAGCAACAAACTGTCATCGTATATAGAGTACACAGTGTATAGTATCGCTGCTACGCCACGTTTGAATTCTACTAAACTGATCATAATTAAGAAAAGCATAATTTCCATTTTCATGGAAAGAAAATATACTATTCCAATTTATTTTTTATAATACTATTTTGTTCAAGCATCCTTGTGGCAACTGATACATAAGGATTCGAAGTACGATGTAACCAAAGAGAAAGGACCTGCAGTTCAGTACACAATACCCTAGTATTCCCTGAATTATAATCATAATTACTCAATGTGACGTATTAATTTTTCTAGATGTATTCTATTTATCGTATTCACCGAGCGACTTCTCAAAACATTTTCATAATAATATTTCGATTTTTAAGTACATTATCGTATAATTTCGGTCAGTTAAAAAATGAAAATATTCAGTCACAGAAACAATTTTTTGAAATCTTGCCAGTAATGGGCATTTTCCAAAGTTAGAAGATTTTGCTTTGAGAATCTTATCGATGTTCGAAAGCACTTACCATTATGAAGAGTTTGCAATCTCACACTAAATGTAGATTTATGGCACTATTGTGGCCCTCGAACAATGTAAATATAATTTTTCACCCCCCCGAAACCGGTAACCTTAGACCACCCTGTTCTATTGCAAAAACGAATTCATACCAGTCACATTTTAGATAAGACAGCTTTAGCAATAATAGAAGTGAATACTACCCCAAGTGGGCATCACTTGCTCTTAACTTTGTCCCTGTTCATGTTTCCATGCTCACACCTCTGACATTCATCATTGAGCCCAGGCTTGAAACCACATCCACGTCCAATACATATAGAAATGGCACCTCTGAAAATGAATCGATAGCCTACATTCTTTTAACACCTTTATTATAATTCAAAATAAATGATAACTTGCACATAACAGAAATTATTTGCAGCATATATTTTACTAAGCAAATGCAGAAGTTTCCCATGCAGCCGTTCAGTCAGGTATATGTGTGTAACGTCAGAAAAGGAATGTGCTACAGATGCAACACCAAAAATGGGCAAAGCATAAAAGGAGGAACACAATATGACAAGTTAACTGTAGTAACTTGAATAAACACATTAAATGACATTGCACTCGCAAGCAAGGGCCACGAAAGACAGATTTGTTAACAGGTCACTCAAACCCCAACATACAATGTAAACAGTAATAGTACATGGATTTATACCTTGCAAAAGATTAACAATGATAAGCAAATCTCGCTAGTTGGCAAACCAGCAACTAAATCTTAATTATGATTTATTTTTCCATATTCTATTTTCCATGAAAACTTACTGCAAGTTATTATAACAAAACGCCTTACACTGACTGCAATTTCACAGCATGCATATTATTTTTAACAACATTCTGGAAGGTAGTATGAACACATGAATTCTCTAGTAATAAATTCTACAGACTTGAAAGTCAATGTTAATGTAATCTCCAATGCTGCCATTTTGGCTTCAGAGAACTTGCCTTTGGCTTTTTAATATTGATGAAGTTTTGTCCATGAACTTATAATATACTATAATTTTGAAATTGCTGAAAGTCAACTTCCGCAATGTGTCGACAATGAATAGTTCTTAAACACAACCACGACTCAGGTTCCGTATCGATCCTAAAAAGAATTAATGTTTACAGATTCTTAAAAGAGATGGTCCTTTTTTTTTTAATAATAAAACAATATGAAATTGTAGGATTTCTCTCAGTGGTTCTGAATTGTATTTAAAATCAAGATGGTGGTCATATGTGTATTGTTTCACAATAATGAAATAATGCCTTACAAATCTGCAATTAATTTTTATTTCCAAGCAAATTGAATGGTTTCAGTTTGTTGTTCATGAAGCTAATTTTTGCTTGTAAACAAAAATAATCATGATTATGAATATTCAAATTCTAAAAACCTATTTCTTTTCGAATTTCATTCACATGAAATTTTGACATTGAAAACCGTAAAGAGGATTTCGAGATTTGCGCTGTATGCAATATCACACTCATAGACGGCACAAGTGCTTTATGAGACCCTTCATGAAGTATCCAAACAAATGTTGACATCGACACAAGTCAGATTTAAATATGGCTGGTCTAAAGCATGTCGCTAGCTGAATTTGAGTTATCGAAAAATGAGAATCCATCCTATTTTTATGAAGAAATATATTTAACCAAAAACAGACAAAAAATTTTGTTGTTAAACCAATGCATCATCACCAAGTACACAAAATGTAATTATATCAGTGGTTCTCAATCCTACTGTTAGTTAGTTCTTTTTTAGGTAGGGCGCAAGACATGACAAATTATGAAAAGGGGGTGCGGTGCTGGCTTAAAACCACTAAATTATATATATATTATACACAACCTGAAATGGTTAGACGCAAATGCCCGGGACACCAGTTGATGACATTCTTCAGCGACAGACCTTACCCCTTCTTTTAAATTTCCTAAATCTGGCATTTGACTGTTGTATGATGAGGAAGATGAACTTTGACCTCCTCCGAAGAAATCATCGCTAGAAATTGCAGATCGTCCCTCCAAGCTCTTCATTCTTTGTTCTTGTTCATGCTGTGTGACATGAAAAATTAAGAAAATTATAGAAGAAGTGTTCGACAAGCATAGCAAATGAGACTTTAGTCAAACTCATAGGTATAATTAGTATTTCCTTATAAATAAAATAGAAATAAAGATTCACCTGAGAATCTGTCTTGAATCTCCAAATAACATGTCTGATGAAATTGCCGATGAGTAGGAATATTATCAACTAATTGGGGTTTTTCTTTGACGTGAACTGTTGGAATAAGATAGAAGGTTACATAGACCAAACTATCAAAACAATGAGGGTGCTTGACGACGTTATAGAAAAACATTACAAATTACAAACAATAAGTAAGGATGTCAAAACATTCTGTCTAATACAACTTTATACACCATAAATACAATCAAGTATAGAATCTGATGTTATGTTGTTGAATGTTGCTCAAGTAGGTATCTTAGAATATTGAGCCTCTCAAACATATTTTCTACTTAATATATATAAAAAACGAGATTGCAAAAACGATCATTTTAGATGTTTTTCACACCATCAGTCAGAGAAACTCTATGATATTCGCTCAGTACAATACTACATTAACATTTATCTATAGATTGAATAAAGCAGTGGTTTTCAACCTGTGGTATGTGTACCACTAGTGGCATGGCTTTTCAAGTGGTAAGCGAGAAGCTTTAAATTATTGCAACAACAGACTTTTGAGGTGGCTAAAATATGACAGAAACGCTTTTTCTTTACCTTACATTACTGAAATATTACTCTTACTGTGAATGTTACTTAACTACAGGTCGAGAACCAATGTTTTAAAAGTGTTAATATAAACTTAAATACCCCGCCGCTGCCCATCCCCCTTTTTTTAGTCGACGCGTTTCGAGATACCCTGATAGAGCCTAGATACATCATGAGGAATGTTACTATTACTGCCTAATGTATGTGTTGGCTGATGGGCATAATCTTTACTTTGAGGCCAAATTAATTTGACGATTAGGTTAGGCAGTTCCGGATAGTGGCAGCGCCGACCAAAGTGTATTTGTCTGAGTTTTGCGATAACTCAGTGGTGGCGATGATTAAAGCCTTTCAGCTCTGACGGTAGTTCGTCGCAAATTTCTCTCGTGATTTTGCACGTAATTATTACGTTGTTACTGAATATAATTAATACTTTGAATTGTTGAAACTTTGCACGAAAGCTGTAAAAATGGATGTAGTGCCACATAAAAATACTACCATAGCGCGTTTCTGGTGTCATTGTTCCTTGCCACAAAAGCGGTTTTGTCGGTGGTACGCGGCCACGATAAAAAACACGAAAATGGAACGCGGGCAGTAAAAGGTTAAGAAACACTGGAATAAAAGAATAGAATATTTGGCCACAACAGAAACAATTAAGTTCTAACTTCTAAGTTCTCAGATTTTGTCCTAAGATGAGCGTACTTCATTCAATCACTTTACAATGCATGTTGAATATTATTTTCATTTGTTGCAAAGTTGCAAAAATACTACATATTAATTCAACGAAAAAATAAATGGTATAAATTATAACACTTTAGAACTAAGGCATATATAACACAAGAATTGGGATGATAGCCATCGAACTAGCCATGTAAAGCTATTGAGTTATAATTAAACGATTACAATAATACAATACAATAATAATTTATACAGTACCTTTCATTTTCATCTCTTGCATTGTTTGATATAATAACAGAAGAAATGTTTTTATGAGGATCGTTAATTGGTTCGATTGAATACGAAGGAGGATCATTTCTTGATGGTTTTGTTTTTGTATCACTTTTAGAAAATGTTTGTTTGTAACTGAAATCTCGTGTTTTCCATGTATTATTATCATCATCACTGTCATTATCATCCATCCAATGGCTGAAAATACCAGTGGGAGATATAAAAAATACTTTACTGTCAATGAAATTCATTTGAACTATACAATATCTGTTTGTCAGCAGCAGAGCAAGTTGCCACTGAAAATGGTTGCAAAAAAAACTGATATTAAAAATTGAGGACTTTTCTGACTAAGAAAACACCATTCAAGAAAACTTTTCTTTCAATAAATTTTTTACGTTCATTACTTGGTCTTCATTTTAGTATTCTGGGAAGATTATGGTATATGACGAAGCAATTTGTGGACAACATTAAGAATTTCAAAAAACAAATGTCCTTATAGGAAACTCGATATTGTATCAATTCCAATAATCATACCTACTTATCACAATTGAAGAACAAAGAAATGCCAAGTTCAATTGCACAAAATAGTCACATGATATTCATAAGTCAACATTGCTAGTTGTTTAGTAGCAATTGATGATTCATGCCACTAAAGACATAACAAATTATCAATCTGCAAATTTGACAAAAAAAAATTGCTCATCTGCAATATATGTCAATAAAAAAATCATCTCAGCATTTCTAACATTTCTTTCATTAAAAAGCATATACATCTGATTTAGACATACATCCTGTGATTGGGTAGGTAGGTCATTACTTACTCTCTTGATGATTTTGCATCAAAAAACATGTCGTCATCTCTATATCGATTCCTCCTCGGCCGTTCATCTTGTGGAGAGGTTTGATCAATTGTCATAATTTTCATAGAATGGGAAACACCCCTAAAACAAACAAAGCTTCCTTTCAAAACTTGGTCTCTAGGTTGGGGGTTGTAGCACTCGCAACTTATCGAATCATTGTATTATTACTATTATTATACCTAAGCGAATCCCAAGCCTAAATTTAACCAAAATAATAGACAATGATCATTAAACTACAGTATCCTAAGTGATTCGATAGCCTTGCTACACACTAACCCAAATATATTTCTGTAACATTTCATCTGACTAAGGTCAGACTTGTTCAGACATACAGAGTTTAATGATGAACCAATATGTTGAATTACTATAGGTAAGAAATCTTATTTTTAAAATCCAGCATGATTCATCATCTCTTATCTTTCAATATATAGGAATGATAAGCAGAATTAGAGAGCAATCTAACATAGACTAGTTCCATTTGTCTATCAAGAATTTTCTATGATCAGAATCATTCAATGTTCCTCAAAGTTTTTATACCTACCACCACCACAGGACAACTTGCAAACTGCCTAACGTCTTCTCCATGCAAAACATGAAATCAGGGACCTTGATATTATAGATTTATGATCGCATACTAAGAGTCAAAGCTATGTTATGATGTGGTAGAAAAAACTAAACTATGAGCATAATATTTTCATTTTCAAAAGTCAATCAGCTCTTGATAGTAAGGCATTTGAAAGCCTGGATTATTAATATACATCCTGCACGCCCATGTAACATCAAACTCGAGTTATTTTTATAAGAGCAAATGCCCAATTTGAAGTCAACACCTACCAAAAAGCCTGTAAGATGATTTCTTTCCTCTTTCTGGCACTAATTCAAATGAGGGCCAATTAGGAAAAAATGTTTCCACTAATGGTTTAACGACTCTCTGAAAAAGTGGTGTGCAGTAGAACACAAACCTTATGCATAAGAATGATTCACAACTCACTCGACTTTTCCCATTCCCATTCCAAGTCTAACAGCTTGCTCTTTTTTCCTGTCATCCATTGCTGACAGTTTCTTGTCTACCTGTTTCTCCTGTTTTTCTATATCTTGATAGGCCAGTCTTCTTGATGTATCACTATTGAAAAATATCAATCTCAATATCAAATATTTTAACCAAAAAAAAAAAAAAATATACAAAGCAGCACTATGAGTGAAATCTAAAATTTTTAAGACATAATAGATTCAAATCTTATAAAATAAAAAAACAGATTTTTCTGTTACAAGATAAAAGAGAGCTTCATCATCAATTTCACAAAATACTTTCATTCAATCTACTTGACTAAAGGCTAGTTTCCATTTATACACTCTTGTATATACATAACAAAATACATATGCTAGATATAATTTCAATAAATGCTACTTCAGAGAATTATTTAAGCGATATATATGCAGTTCTTTTCTGTTTTGTGTAAACAGACAAATGTGTTTTAGAAATAAATCTATGATCTCTTAGAAGTCGGTAAGTTTAACTCTTGTGTCAAAATTCTCTTTACTTTCAATCAAAAGGGCTCTGACCAGTATTTTGATCCAAATTTCATAAAAAAAAATCTTGAATAAAGAATAAAATTTTTCCATCTTACGTTAATTTTTCATTTTGTTTTTTATCACTCCCAGATGATGACACAGAAAGTCGCATTTGAGCTTTGTCTGCTTCTTCGGCATTTTTTTCAAGTTCAGAAAAATCAATCTTTTTCACCCGTTGAGCCCCAAGTCCACCAGTTTTCTTTGCACCCAGCTTAATCAAAACAAATATATTAAAACGGTGATTTCATCCTGCTATAAGTAAAAACCGGAATGGAATCTTTCTTTATGAAAAATTATCTCCTTTTTTCACAAGATGTCTATGTTGTATGTGATTATTGCCAAACAATTGCAAAATATATTTCCAATATTACTGCATTAAGTAAAACATGCAGATCCATCACAAATTAAAAATATATAAATTAGACAGCTCATAAGGTTAATATCCATAGCCTGTATTTTTCTCTCCACTTACTGACTTACAGATTTTAAAAATGAATGCTTTAGGAATATATTTCACATATAATACTGTAATAATAATGAATTATATGCCATAGGCCTATTCATTTATGATTTATGTTCAACCTTGAATATAAAAATTTTACAGTGCTATTATAAATTAATATTCAACAAAAACAGAATTAGATTTGGGGCTGCTCCACTTTAGTTTGATCCTAACTCTTCACTAGCGAGAATCGTTCCAGCATCAGATCAGAAAAATTTCATATTAACTTAAAAAAACAAAGATTGTACTGCAATTTTTTTTGCATTTTGTTTCGTTACTGAATTGTACTTAAATTGACTGAGAAAAACCATAAATTAATAAATTTGAGAAGCATTGTTGATTTCTTGAATTAGCTACTTACGCTGAAAAATAACATGAAAAACTTAATACTAAATGATTACTGTTAAAAACATATCGCACCCCTTTCTTTGCTCTTGTGTTTCCCTTCTTTATGATTGTTGATTTTGGTTGACTGGATTGTATTGCGCTGGCAGGAACAGCATGCGGTTCGTACTCATCGCTCATTTTGTTGATGCAACGCTTTTACGTCCACAAACACAATATATATTTTCTAACTGCATTGAAAGTAACGCCACAAAAATGCAATATCTTATAGAGATAAGAAGCTATTCTGCGAAGTATGGTAAATACATAAACACCATGAACGAACAACAGGCATGCATGAATCAGAAATGTTTAGTGTACGTAGCATATTTTGTCACGTGACTACAGGCACGATTGGGTTTGCAAACAAACTCCCGTTGTATATTTCGCGGTGATCGGACATTAGAACCCATGTGTATATCCGCGGGTTCAATCTATATGCGGGTGCTAAGACCCATGGGTTAGGGTTAGTATGGGTTCAAATATACGCAAAATAAAAAAATGTCCATAAGTGCAATAGTATGCAGGTGCAATTGTCGTGGGTTCAAATGTACGTGGGTTCAAATGTACGGGAACTCCTCGCCGTCGTTGGGTGGTTCACGTAACCGCGGTCGGTTACGGCTTCCTCTACCACCAAGTTCATGCTTCTGAAAACAAACAATATAACTAATCCCATACCTGACCTGGAATGGTAACCGGACGAGAGGCCGTGGTTCGCCATATGGATAAGCCGTCTTATCGGCTTTCCTCTCCCCCGGAATAAATCTGTAAATCCTATCCTATCCTAACCATATTTCGCAGCCCCGAAAGCGTAAAGTTCTGCATATTTGTCACAGGAAAAATAAAAGACGACTAGATTCAGCGTTTCTAACATTTAGCAAAATACACCAATTGTCGAGCCATCGAAAAGTGTGTGAAATTAATCATGCGCATATTTCTGGCGATTGTGGAAAACTAGTGCTGCCTCTGGAATATGAATCGCAAAGTGTTGTCATGTATGATGGAACACTGTGAAGTTGTTTCTTTTATTTTTGTATCTATGCACACGTGCGTTGTTATTATTATTATTTACTCATGACATTTTATTTTGAATAGTTTGCGTCCACGTTCGTCTGGAAAGCATTATCACCCACTATCATTCTAGCTATATAATGATATTGAAAGTAAAGTATACCTAGGTCTAATTAATGGACAGTAGCAGTTGTGAAAACCCCTGCAAACATATATATGATATTTAGACCCGCCAATGATATGACACATGTCTTTCTTGTCATTGCAATCGCGGACAAATCAAGCGAAATTGCAATAATAATTTTTTATAAACTAAAAATATGTTTTAGCAGATTTTTCTCACGGATATTTGTATCTTCTGTTGCACACGAGACCTATATTTGACATATGAATAAGTTTTCATCGTATTTCCTTTCACGCTAAATAAATATAAAAAATCCAAGAGCTATCTATCACCTCTGTTGCCCTCTCGTGTTCAATATCCCTATCGTCGTGGCAACACCAAGCGCTCGACTGTCTCCAATACTTTATACATTCATTGCTGAAGTATTTGCATGTAATATCAGAAGTAATACAGAGATAAGAGGTTTCATAAATATAGCAAATGAGGAACAAAAATATAAGGGGTTCGCAGATGATGCACTGTTGACTTTAAGGGATTACTATTCTTTATGTGTATCCATGAATGTTATTGTACAATTTGAAAATGCATCAGGAACCTATATAAATAGGAATAAATCACAAATTTTGGTATGTGGCAGTTTGATAAACTTGCCAATTATTCAAGTGGATGGCATAAAAGTTTCAAGGGACAATATATTACTATTAGGTTGTTGGTTTGGTAATGATAAAACTAAATTTGAGAAAAATTGGAATCCAGTCATTAGAAGAATTCAGAATGTTATAAATTTATGGAGGGGTAGAAACCTGACAATGATTGGAAGAACTATTATTGCTAAACAATTATTATTGTCAAAAGTTTGGTATTTAGCATCATTTGAAATAGTTCCATACAATGTTATATTAACTTTGAAAAAATTAATTTGGACTTTTATTTGGGAACAAAAACAAGAAAATATAAGCAGAAGTGTATGCTGTGCCAGTAAAATGCAGGGGGGCTTAGGATGCATGGATATAGAAATACAAATAAAAAGCATTCAACTTAAATGGTTGTGGAAATTGATTGATGGTAATAAAGCACCATGGAGTAACAGAGCTAGAAATTACATAAATAACTATCACAATAAACTTCAAACAACTAATTTGGAAATTATCCATCTTAGTTTGAGAAACAATTTTAAGAAATCGATACCTCAATTCTATACAAATATTGTCAATTATTTTAAAGCATTAAATTTAAAAAGAAACCCTTTGCAATTAAGATCTGAAATTTATCAAGAATATATTTGGTTTAATCCATTGATTAAGTTGCAAAATCATCCAGATAATCTGAGTAATTGGATTAAATCGAATATAACAAAAATAGAACATGTTATTAAATTAACATGTAGGCAAATTTTAGAAAAATATATGGAGAAGATAGGATAAGAATGATGGATATAAATGATGTAAAAGACAAAATGAAGAAAGTTATTTTATCTGTTCAAGAAATTTTTGAAATCTATTCCCAGGAATGGAAAAATATATTAAGAGATAAAACAAGCAATCATATCCCCATGTCAAAGGAATTTAAATATGATTTTTCAGAAAATCCCACAACAAAAATATTGTATAGGAAAATATTAAAAAAGTTTAACAGTGACCAATGGAAACAGAAACGTTGTAAAATTATTTATAAATTTAATTTACGAACAGATTTTACTTGGAATAAAGTTTGGGCAAATTATATTCCCAGAAAATACCAGGTACTAAGTTGGAAGATTTTACAAAATGGGATTCCAACTGGAGAACGAATTAGACATTGGGCAGAAGATACAAATGGCAATTGCGTCTTTTGTAATAGAGTCATTGAAAATTGTATTCATTTATTTTTCAACTGTTCTTATATAAAATCCTTTTGGAAATGGCTAAATTTAACAAGTTATACACAGCATAATATTTTTACTCAAGATGTTGAAACTAAATCACTGAATCTAATTATCGCTTGTGGTAAAGCAGCGATTTGGAATTTTAGAAATGGCTTAATATTTCAGGAATTGGAAACATATCAGTCCATACTTAGAACTATGTTTAAATGTGTGATGATAGGATCTTTAAGAAGTATGAATGAATTTGTAAAAGAGGAAATATTAGAAGATGAAAAGATTGAAATTCTTTTAGGAAAATCAGTAATGCTTTGAATATGGTAGTTATAGTTTTCATACTTATTATCTGAAATTTATATACATTGAAATAATTCAGTTAAAAAAAAAAATAAATAAAAATGTGAATGTTTGTTGTGTTGTAATGAAAATTATGATATATCAGATAACATTGTGGGTGTATAATGTATTATTTCATGTTAAACTTGTTTTAATATTAATTCCTAACACCTGCAACTATCGTTTCTGCAATCACAGACTCTATAATAAAATGTTATTTCCAAGAAAAAAAAAAAAAAAGTTTGCATAGACCGAGAATCTGGAAAACGCCTAATAGCATGATGGGCGTTTTTATGATTATTTGTCTAATTCTTTAAATATTTTTGTTTTCCATATTAAATGATAATATCGGTTAAATTTATAATATATATGGTATAACTACTGAAAATGAAAAAAAATGTATGCACAATGGTCACTGGATTACATGGATTGACATTTCATGAATGTGGACACAATTCAAATTGGATATTTGAACTAATATGGGTAAATGTATCTGGTTAAATTGATATTTGTGATTATTTATCTAACATGTATTGTATACTTAACACCTAAATTATTTGGAAATTGGGATTCATGCAATTAAATTGACATAATAATATATTTGGATAAACCAAAACTATCATTTTCATAAATCCGATTTGGCTATGGATTTAAATTTGGCAAAAAAAAAAAAAAAAAAAAAAAAAAAAGCGCTCGACTGGAGTCGTTTCGGAATTTGGAGTTACTGCGATTGCGAATCATTTTACACTTCTCAAACTTTTTTCGGTTGTTAAGCTGCACGAGAAGTAAATATCCAAGATAAAGTTTGATATCCAATATGCCCGAGCCTGGTCCAGAACCAGGAGAGGGGGCGGGGGAAGTTATTACTAACGGTAAAGATGAAAACGCTCCAGAAAATATAGAAAATCAGGAAGATAATCTTCTCGATATCAGAGCGTCACCTACCGCAAGACCACAAAGCAGAGGCAGTGTATCACCAACTCGAAAGGTTAGTTATAGTTTTTTTTATCCTATCTGATAGTAATATATATGAGCAATACAATCTTCAGCACTCTCTTTACAGCTTTAGGGTTTAAGATCATATCCAATATACTGATATATAACTTTGTTTTCTAAAATTCTCACTTTTCTGGTAATTTGTTCACTTTGCATGCATTGCTGTTGTTTCGCATATGTTAAATTTATCAATTAATTTGTTTCTCAGACAATAAGTCGAATCAGCAGCGCACATTCGACACAATTTGCTCGTCCTCGCAGTGGTTCGTCTCAAGGATCTGTTGAGATACGTGATGACAAAGATGACGATGCTGCAAGTGATGGCGGATACGACACAGATCTAGAAATTGAAGGTTCATTTCTATACTGCAGTACTAGGCTATGTCCAGTTGTTATATTGACAGCTCAGAGAGTTTGCAGGTTTTAACAATATATGGGAAAACTAAAACAGAATCAAAGTAGGAAGTTATTATATTAAATTATCAATGTATTACATTTCATTCATCAATACATTAAAATCATCAAAGATTTATATACTGGAAAGTATTTTCACACAGTATTATACAATTGCTCGCAGTGCCAATTTTTAAGCAAAATACTGAAAAGGAAGAATAAAACCATAGCATAACTATAATATTCGTATTGCTATCCTAATTCAGACATATTATATTTGTTGTTTCAATCAACCTAGATGATTTCTACCACACATAATCATTCCCAATAACTTTTTAGTTCGATATATTTATTAAATATTTGGCCGTGTTTATAATACATAACATATTTATTCTATATATTGTTTTTTTCCAAAATTTTATTCAGCGAATCGTGAAGAGTATGATACAACTGGAAAAACAACTTATAAAGAAGCCTGTAAACAATTTGGTGTTATCCCGGTGTCTTATTTCTTGCGTCATATGCAAGATACAGAACTTATCATGAGACATCATGGACTTGGTCCTGCAGGAGGAAAAGCTATTGCTGTGTCACTTGTGGTAGGATATTACTCATATTTATATTCGAACAAAATAAATTAATTTTATTTGTTTAATTTTTTTTATGAGTCTGAATAAAGTATATAAAAACATGCAGGACATAGTTTAAATTATTTCAAATTTCTTAAGATTATTTTTTTAATTTCTTTGACTAGAATTCTGTTTTACAAGTATTTTTTTCTGTTATATATTCTGTTAATCTTTGTTGCAGTCCAATACAAGAATTTTGAAATTGGATCTCTCTGACAACTGGCTAAGTGGAAAAGGTGGTGCAGCTATTGCTGATATGCTGGAAGAAAATTGTTATATAACGGAACTGGTATGTTTAGAAAAGTTTTCTCACAGAGCTTCAACTTTTTCTCCGTTATTGTTTGGTTAAACAACATCTAAAGAACTGTGATATTGAAGAAGCTTAATTATGAGCAGGGCTGGGCGTAACTTATGTGGGGTATTCGAAACAAATTGCCAGGGAAAAATTTAGGTAGAGATTAGGACAATAACTAAAATTTAAATTTGTAAAAAAAAATAAATTCATCTTCACATTTTATTACCTGGTACTGAAAGCTAGTAAGAAGTTCTCACTATGAGTTTGATTCTTTAGTTGGTTTCAACTACTTCCAGATTAATATTCTTCATCACTGGAATTAGAAAATCTAGTTAATCTATCAATCTACAATTGGTCATTACATATGGGGATATTGCATTCTTTTATTTTGTCAATTCTAGATTCTTTCTGATAACAAGCTCGGGTACGATGGAGCAAAAGCAATTTGTGCAATGTTGCAAAAGAATGACAACATTAATCGAGTCAACATATCTGGGAATGAATTCGCAAGCAAAGCGGCAGAACCTATTGCCGAATTGTTAATGTCGGTAAGAAATAAGATTCGGTCGAATTATTGAATATAAGAATTATAGTGATTGAGTCTAACATTAGGATAAACAGTCTGCAATTTTTGATATGTAGTATCAGTAATAACAGATGAACATAGGGGTTCAAATGTGCTACAAGAATCAATTTTTACTTTTGGAGACTTTTGGATTTCAATTTGAGTTTTATGCATTACATATTTTATTAGTCCATTGTTACTTTACCAGCCCTATTATAAGGCCATCAAAAAAATAAAACTCGAGGTACAAGAAAGATATTCTTCCAAATTACTGATCCATTTAATCTAAGTGCTAATATTTTTGTTAATTTAGAATACGCAAAAAGTCGAGTTCCTGAATCTCAGTGAAAATCATTTCGATGAGCCATCTGGGGAAATTCTTGGACCAGCTATTGCAGAAAACACATCTATCAAAGAAATTAATTTGAGTTGGAATTATTTCAGAAGAGGAGGTGCTGTTGCAATGGCTAAAGGAATTGGGGTAAGTTTTGAAATGTCTGTACTCTTAGGACATTTTATAATATTGGCTCGGTGATGTGGCGCATCATGCCAAGTGCTAAGAATATGTTTTCCACGCACCTTTAGGTATGGGTTTGCTGGTTTGAATCTTGCGTGGGGTAATTATGTACGAGTGGATTGTTAGACACGGCCATAGGGTAGTTCACGGAATCAGTATTCCAGATTGTTCAAATAACTTCACTGGCATGTTTACTCATACCTGGCAATCCCACTCTGTAGTTCTTTATAGTCTCAGTAACGCATTTTAGCGGCCACCCTTAATTTTGCTCGGAGATCAATCTTCTTATCTTGTTTTTGAGTGAGTGTGTGTGCTTTAAAAAGAAATTTATTAAAAGTTTCACCTGCAAATTACAAATTGATGTGGTGGTTTGTCTTCACGATAGGCTTCCTATGTATCTTTGTTCATTCTTTTTTAAATGATCTTTTTTTTCAGGCAAACATCTTCTTAAAATCTGTGAATATTTCATGGAATGGAATGGGATTGGAAGGTGCCACCACGCTTGGTGAAGCACTGAAAACAAACAATGTTTTGGAAGAATTGGATGTTAGCAATAACAGGATTTCTACTGAGGGTGCAATACTTCTGGCAAAAGGTTTGTGTGAGAATATCATTCAGTGATATTACATGGACTTGATCTGTCTGTCCAGCAAGTACAGAGTTCTTATTAAATCTAAATCAGAAAAGCATCACAAAGTTTTTTTAAACAATGACCATTATAAGCATGTTGGTGCATTGTGATAAGCATTAAGAATATGCTTGCCATTGTATTTTTAAATACCCTGTATGTGTTTGCGGGCTTGAATCCCATGGGCCTAAATTATGTGCAAGAAGATTGCTTGACAGTCCTCGTCACCAAAGGGTGGTTTACTTAACCGCTGGTCAGTTACGTCTTTCTCCACCATCAAGTTCATCTATCTGAAACAGATAACTGACTTACTAATCCCATATCCAAACTCCTATGCATCAGTAAACAGACAAGAGGATGTGGTTCGCCATATCAGTAAACCATCTTATCGGCTTTCCTATACTCCTACTTATGAAAATAATATCCTATTTGTGATAATAATATTTTATATTGGCAGTTACAATATGTCGAAGAAAAATGGTTGTTATTGCCATTGGGACAAATTGAATTTGCTACCTAATCTTATGGCGATTTTAACTGTAAAATGGATGAAAGACCATGGTTCACCATATGATTATCTTATTAATTTTCCCTTTCAATTTCTTTGTTCAGTTATTGTTAAGATTTCATATAGTTATTAATTACGATTATAGTATTAATTTTCAATCATACAAAACTTCTGCAGGATTGCTGGTAAATGATACATTGAGAATTCTCCACATTGGGAAAAATCCGATGCAATCTGCTGGAGCATTTGGTATATTGACTGCACTGAAAGAAAACTCTGGATCTGCCATTGAACACTTGGGTTTTACTGATATTGTGGTAGGATATATATTTTATGGTGGCACCTATGAAGTTAGAAGCATTGAAATTATAAGTATATTGGGGCTGTCGCCGTCGGTATTACAATCTCTTTATTTTTCGTTATGTGTTGTAACTTATTCAAATAAATTTTTACATCTGGTTCATTTTCAATGGAAATATTCCATTATGCAATATTTGTTCTATTTTTCCCCAGGTGAACAAAGACTTTGTAGATCTGGAAAAGGAAGTCAAAGAAAACAGACCAAAATTAGTAATCATCCATGGCGGTGCTGAATCTGAGAAAAAGAAACCAAAAGCTAGGGTAAGAATAACTTTGATATAATTTCAATGCTCAGTGTTGTGGCTCATTGGGCTAAGAATTGGGAATAAACTTGCCACTCACCTCCCGTTACCCTACGTGGGTTTGCAGGTTCAAATCCTGTGCGAGAAGTATTGCTGGACTCATCGCCGCCATAGGGTGGCTCACAACGGTTACTGGTAGGTTACGGATTTCTCCACCATCAAGTCCATGCATCTGAAACATTTAACTGGCTAGCTAATCCTATACCAGATAGGAACTAGTAACCAGACAGGAGGCTGTTGTTTGTCATATGAATGAGCCGTCTTATCGACTCTTTTTCCTCCGGGATAAATATGTGAATCCTATTCTATTTTATATACGGATGGTATCAATTAAATGGGAAACCACAATCATTTGCTCGTTTATCAGCCAAGGTCTGTATAAGATTAGTTAACCAGTTAATTGTTCTATTTTGATGGGATAGACCTAAATGAACGCGGAAGCTGTGATGTGTAATCGACTAGTAGTTAAGCCAACCGCCCTGTAGTGGTAAAGTGTTTAGCAATCCTCCTGCACATGGCTACCACCCACTATATTCAAAACTATGAACTGTGCTAATCAGCAACATATGGGCCGGCGGTGTGATCATGCTAAGCATAGGAATCTGCTTGCCACCGCACCTCTAATTACCCTGCATGGGCTCATAGGTTCAAATCCCACGTGGGGATAGTTATGTGCCAGGGGATTACTTTATTCCTGGCTCCGTTGGGTGGTTCATGCATGCAGCCGCTGATCCATGCACATAAAAACATCCCATATAAATTAATCCCATACCCTCATGGACTGGTATCAGGACGGTAGGTCGTGGTTTCCGATATGATCAAGATGTGTTATCGTCTTACCCCTCCCCCGGGATACATACGTATATCCTATGTTTCTAACTTTAGAGCGGTCTACCAGCCTCTCAAAACATGCTGTTTATTTCTCATTATTTTTATTATATTGCTTTTCTTTTATATCACTAATCAACCTTGTTTTTAGCCCGACCCAATGACAAAGATTCGCAAATATGTTGAAGAAAACAACATGAGACTTGTTGATTTTTTCAATTCTTTTGATGAAGACAGTAGTATGAGCATCACCAGAGAAGAATTACAGAGAGGAGTTGAAGTAAGAATGTTTTAATGTTCTGATTCTTTGACTAGTTTATGTGAAAATTGTTTTTTGGTTCATGAAAATCAGTTTAAAACAAAGTTACAGTGCACCCCTGGAAATAAAACAGAAGCTCATTTGATAAGTCATGAATGTCCACCGGAATTTACTTTTAATTTTTTATTTGTCATTTATCACTTCATCTAGTCTTATCATTTGTCAGGATTGAAAAAACTGTAATATTACAGGTTTTCCGAGGCCTTTGAGTTCCCTAATCTAGGAGAAGCTGAGGTTAGGACATACAATGATTCAAGCCAACCCTTATGCAAACCGAACAACAGATAATACCTATTCATCTTCACTGAATAAATAATCAAATTTAATTGACAGTTACCGGTAAATCTTTTATCCCAGGGGTGTGCAACAGGCGGGCCCCATGTGACACAGATTCACATTTTTTTTCCATCAAGCATAAAAACCTGATCCGACAGTTTATGTTTGAAAAAGCACTCACATGGATAAAAATATGTAATGTTTTCTTGCTATCGTCTTTTTTCACCGCATTGCTCGGTGCATTTATTACTGTAAGACTAAGCGATAGTCGCATTCTCTTGCCTTTCCTGCTTAATTTTATGTGTGGCCTAGCTAGATGTCTGAAGTTGGTTATATGGCTGCTCGCAAAAAATGTTCATTAAAGTACTTTGAATAACTATTGAAAAACTATATATTAATTACATCATAGCAAGCTGGTATTATGCTGACGCAAGATGAAATGAAACAACTTTTAGAACTCCTTGATAAGGATGGTGATGGTGAAATCAACTACAGGTGAGACCTATTTTTTTACATTTGCTATTGGTTTGTTTGTGGATAACACAAGTGTGTGTTGAGTTTACCTAAGTACTTGTTTAACTATGTTACATTTAACTGTGTTAACTTACCTGTTCTAACCTAAAAATAAATTGCATTGGCATAAAATCCTTGGTAAAACTGGATTATGGAATTAATGTGAGGGTAAATTGAAGTGTAAATTTTCTTAATGGGGTGTATTGCAGCAGCAGCTATTACTTTGCGTTGAAATTTCCGTAATTTCATCCATAAAAATCCTCCATTTTATATGAGTTTAAAAAACTATTTTGTGTGATCTTTGTCATTTCGTAATATTGCTTTCTCAGTTAAGCAATCTTTTCATGCATAATCGTCGCCCATAATCTTGGTTTTTTGGGGCTCTAGCTTTGTGTATATAAACAGGCAAAGCATTGTTCAATACGAGCTATGAATAAAAATAAAAATTGCAATAGTGCATCATAATGTTTGATTTGTTAAGAGTTTCTTCATCCAAAACTCGATCAGGTGGTTTCTGATGGTGGTCGATACAGTGGTTATACAAAGGTAAATGACCACAAGGCACAAACAATTTGAAAAATTGCACATGCACCATAAATACTATATTATCACATTCACCAAATTACAATAATTACAATTTCTCGTCTAATTGATCTATAATTTTTATTTTCTCCCTATTCCCTATCCTGACCATCTGACCCAAGGTAGGCAATCGGGAGATACCAGTCCTTTCAAAAATAGTGTCTTTCTGTATGTCAGTATCTGCCTGTACAAACCCTTATTTAGAATTGGAAAATACCTACCGTATTTCACAGACCATACAGCGCACCATCAATAAATTGCCCAGATAGGGATTCAATCCACACATAAAGAACACCAGGCTATAAAACAAAACCGGTACTGTAGTGTAGGCAATGGAGCATAAAGCACTGCGATATATATACAGGGTGTCCCAAAATAAATGAAACCCATTAATTTGATTACCAATTTTGTGGGTTTTATTTATTTTGGGACACCCTTTTTGATACATTGTAAAAATTAAAATATTTAAAGTGTGCCTTATGGTCTGTCAAATGCAGTACAATAAAAAACTATTATTCATATGTTCTTATCATATCCAGACAGACCAATTTCTGTTGGTTGTTTACTAAAATAGTGTATAGCAAAGTTTATATGAAAACAATTGTTTTGTATTCAAAGTCACTATACACAAAATTCATCATTTGTACACAAAGTGGTATTAATTTGCCAAAATATCTATGAAATCCTGAAACATTGTTTATGATATGTTCTATGTCTTGCAATTTGTATTGTTTTTGGTGTTATCCTTGTTAATAATATTGGGTTTTATTATAATTTGCCAATTTGAATTTTTTTACATTTTTGAATAACCTGCATGATGTGTTTTGTTGTGTTGCATGTGTGTTATTCCAGAATAATGCTGGCAGTTCTTGAACTTGAATGAACATCTTCACCCTTGAAAAGGTAGGTTGGTTTTCTTGTAGCATAGTGTGTAGTTATGTACATGTAATATTCTATTGTATTGTTGTTCAAGAAAATTTGGTATTTTGAGTCTGTGATAATTAACAATAAAGGTTAGTTCGACATCAGCCACAGAAATATTGTAAGTTTCGATGAATTACATCGGAATTAGATAAGCCATTTTCAGCCATTTTCTTCCATCAAGCAACCATGAAAAAGTTTGCCCTATTGGCTGGCTGTCTTACTTATAAGTATATAAGTTATATAAGTTTACTTGGCCATTTTTCAAGGTGTGCAACATGATGGACTGTTTTCATATCTATTTGTATGATTCAGTGTTTCAAAATTCTGTTATTGAAAATCCAAATTTTAATGATCATTCTTTATCGCCCATTATGTATTATTTATTGTAATTTCCTTATTTTAAACTAATTTTTTGCAGCGAACTCGTAATCGGAAATCTTGAATATTTGCAAAAAGAAAAAGAGAAGAAAGACAATGAAGAAGAAGATGCCTAAAAATTTGTAGTTTCTTGTTCACTGCGTTATAAGCACATGTATTTGACCACCACAAATTTGTATCTTGGATCCTAATATCTATTGGTCAAAACTATACTTCTTTTATGAAGTTCTAGTAATTTTACAACTTTTTTAAACATGGTTTATGTTCATATTACTAACAGACTTCCATTAGAAAATTTTCACCAGAATTAGCCATTATCAGGAAGATTTTGTATCTGTATTCTGTTTTTCATGATTTTCCTATAAACATACCGTAAATAATTGTTTTTCACTGCAAATATTTAGTCAATAAATTTGGTACAGGATGGCTATTTCAGACCTTACACTCATTCTTTTTGTAGTCAATAATTTTGTCAAAATCAGTGATAATGCCACAAAACTATCCATGCACACAAAATTTGTATCCTCGCTTTGAATATAGTAAATACAGGACGTGCGTTACTGCTATGAAAGTTACTGTATTTTAGTTCTTATGCTTTTATTTATGAATTGATGCCATCATCTGGTTTCTTGTAATATATTTTGTGTGTTTAGAATATCTAGTCAGTCTTCATTTAATTTGAGACCAAACACCTACTCCGTTGTAATGTCCAATGAGTGAAGTGCACATATTAAGTAAACTCATACAATTCACTTATAATATAGTTTTTTAATAGTGTATTGTATAGACTGGAGTCTGTATCTACTTTGAAATTTCCTCATTGGAATTTGTGTCTTCTGACGAAGAAGATTTACAGACCGATGTATTTATATATAATTTTTGATGTTATATTAGCAATGTTTACCTATTTTGCTTCTAAGCCTGCTTAATTCCACTTTGTGCATTTACCTATTTAACCCTACATTGTGTCATTATCACTTCACTGTGTTATTTAATTTGAAAGATGTATTAAAGGGGGATAAATTTTGTTCAGTATTTTTAACTGTAAACAAATGCCAGGCATGTTTGACAGTGGGCTAAATTTCATGCACATAAACGTTACATTAGACTCTAATATTTATAGCATATTATTAACCTTCCATATTTTAAATAACAAGCCTTTCCATTCGTTCTGAAAAGAACCAGATCATAAATCTAATTCTAGTTGTTCTTCCAAGTTTTGAAGTGAATGAAGTTTTTTTTTAAATTGTCTGCTTTCAATTTTGTGTATTTTTTTTATCTGAAATACTTTGCTACAGTAGTGTCTCAAATGTTTGGCTTATTATATGTATTTTTGACATCCCTTTGTGTAAGTGCAGCTTTGGTATCGTAATAAAGTTCTAAAATTATTTATGTATATCGAATTTGTATGCAAATATGTTTCAACAACAGCGAAACAGTAAAATCTGTGGTTTTTAAATTGAGAGACCGGAAGTACCGTTAAGAGTACATTGCCACCTTCAAATGCACATTTCAGTTTTTCAAGTTCAAAGATGCGACTATTAGAAGCTGAATCTGAATGTTATTATAAATATTGCTTGTATGTATACTCTTTACTAGGATTAAGAATGTTTAAGTTGAGTGAGAGGTCAAATCGCAGAACGTTACCAAGTTAGTGCTACATTTAAAAAAATGCTGATTCAAGGAACACCCAAATATTAAATGTCGTTTAGGTATGTATGTATATATTCATATTTCTGTGCATCACATTACAAACCTTAAAGTGGTGTCATTTTTGCGTTACATGCTTAGATATATGGAGTTAAGCGGCAATGATGACTGTAAAGTTTAAAACCCCATTATTTATAGAAGTTTGGTGTTCTCTGATGACCTGACCACACCCGCCGGTCCTAGGGACAAGTTACAACAGAGTCTTATCAAATGTATATACGCAATTTTTGAATACAGTGGTTCAATATAATACTTGTTAACAAGAGCAAAACATAAAGAACTAGCCTTTAAAAAATTATGAACTGGTTACAGAATTTGAGCTTAGGGGAGGAATTGGTTGGGTTACAGAAAATGGGGAAGTGACATGGGGTGTGTGGCGACTCAAAACATGTGAAGGACTCAATAGAGGACGAATTCCAATATCGCTTTTTCCACTGCTAGATGGTGGACCGGAAGCAGCACCAAGCAGTCTTAAAGTTCTGCCACCTTTCGTAGTGATCATCACGTTTCCTATAATAGTTCCATCATCCCGTAGAACCGGTGCTTGTCGTAGTGGTCCCAGGGTGCGTGATTCCGCCCCCTTTTTGGTTTGGTCACCCTCCGTAATCACTACTCCTGGTGAAGCATCGATACTTTCAATTAACGAAGGGGGTAGAGGTTCAACATTTGGATCTTCATCTTTTCTTCTAAATGCTGGTTGGTGACGACTGTGAGCAAAACTTCTTTGTGTGCTTTGTGCTGTCATTCGTGTTTTCCCTGTAATTATAAGCAAAATTTTGACTGAATTATGTAGATTATGCGTTGTGATTTATGAATTTGAATTTAAATCAACAATGTTGAGAAATTTGCATATTTCAAGGTTCAATTTCTGATTTGGTAATCAATTTCTGCTAATTGCCTACTACTGAGTATTAAATGCTGATCTAGAAACTTGATTAAATTCTTATTCTAATCAAATTGCATGCGACAGAGAATTAATTATTTCAGAGGAATTTAAATCTTGGTACAGTTTCTTGAAGATTCCAGCTAATCGTCTTGTGGTTGTGATACAAATAATAATCTCACCTGTCGGTATATTTCTTCGTGGAGAAGGAGGAGCAGGAAGTAAGTTTTTAGGTTGTTCTTCTACTGTTTGTTTTTCTTCCATTGGCACTCGACTGGTATGAAAAATATAAGTAAATTAATTGGTAATGAATTAATGTTTTTGGTGCAAGGCATAATTTACCCAGTACAGCTGCATAAATTATGCCTACACCCCCAAATGAGGGAATCATACCACAGAAATTTGAATAAGCAAATGTTTTTTTGGAGGATCTATGGAAAATATATCTATATCCACATTTATTTATGCTTTATATGAATGTCATTTCCCCACTGGTTTTCCTTGGTAATGAAATTATGACAGAACAGACATTATTACCTTGGTGAAAGTCTTGTTCTTCTTGCTCTAGGTTTCCATTGAATCTTCGCTAGTGATCTGAGCTTTCCTGTTCGCATTGCTTCAAGTCTTTGTGCTGCTGCTTCAGCCTCTGGATCTATAATGCTGTAATTAACTCTCACCTGTAAACAAAATGTCACAAATTATTTTAAAGCTTAAAATAAAAATTCGAAATACTGTATCCTCAAATAGCAAGTATGACCAAAAACAAAGCTTAATCATAAGTTAAACCACTCTTGACTGGTTACTATTCTGGGTCAGACATTAAAACAGCTAATCAGTCAATAGCTCCAAATGTATGGAACTTGGATGATGGAAGAAGCTGTGACGACCAAGAAAACCTGATGCATATACTCATTCCCTTCGGGATTCGTACATGCAAAGACGTGACTGAGTAGTACAATCTTCAGTTATGCTGATTATAGGGCTGAAATAAACTTATGAAGCTTGTCTATGTTCTGTACAAACTAGTTAGTTTTACCACAAAACATTCATTAATGTAAATAGTAACTTTAGTAAATGTATTTTTTATTAGTACCTTATGGGTTGGAAGACTTTTTGTGTCTAGTCTCATAACAGCCACAACATTTCCTTTCTCATCGAATGTAACTTCTTTATTACCAGGTGGACGACCTGCTTGCAGTTTGAGTAATGATTTTTGAGACGGAGATAGATGTGCGCCGGCTGAAAAAATCAATTCTTAGTGGATTATTCGAGATTTTTATTACCGGTATATATTTTAAAAGGAATATATGGATAATTGTTTTCGAAAATACCACAAACTCGATTCGGAACGATTTTTCATATCTAAAACTTGTGGAACCACCTGCTATTTATTCGAATGTCTACGTCGATACATTACTATCTGATTTAATAATAAATTTCAGGTTTCCGCCACAGATTTTAACA